TGTTCAATGACATGTATGTCATTTTAATTCAAACATACATACACAAAGATCCAAAACAGTATATGTCTCTCCCCCCCCACCCCCTATCTTTCCCTACCCCCACTGCCCTATTTTGACTGCTGGCTTCTACTAACTAATTCAGAGAACAGCGTTAAGAGAAGTCCCTTCATTAATGCAGAGTCACAGGACTTGCATGACTGATTCTGAATAGCATATTTCTGGGGGGAAAGTGTTAGCTGTTGTTTTCCAAACGCTTGTACACAGCCTCGCTGTGACTCACAATATTCACAATGCAAAGTGAAGGCTCTCACCTAGTTATATTTTATTAACCAGACACCTTTGCAAATCCATTCATTCTCCACAGTTCATTTGTAAAGCTACTTTTGGTTATGCACATGCCTCTCTGCAATTCACCGAACAGTCTCTGAAGACATCAAAGTAGCATTGCTACTGACCTGAAACATCAATGCTTCCGAATTCAAACTCTATATCTCTGAAGGCTCGCAAGCCCATTACTGCCTTCATGTATTACTATCCAATTTTATGCATGTTTTCTTGGATGAAGCGTGAATTGAATCGGACAGTAATATATGATTCATGGCAATTCTTCTTATGTAGTTTTGACGAAAGCCTCGAAAATATGATACTCTTTCGGGAAACATCACTTTGATGATAATATCCTTTTAACTCTATAGACATTTTGGGGATATGGTAGCACAACAGATTAAACCTCCAGCTGCAGAAAATCTTGCCGACCAGAAGGTTGGCACGAGTTGGGGTGAGCTCCCGCCATTAGCCCTAGTTTCCACCTACCTAGCAGTTTGAAAACAATAATGTGAGTAGATCAATAGGTACCGCTTTGGCAGGCGGGTAAAAGACACCCATGTTGACATACTGGCAATTCGATCAGGAAGGTGTCCACAGGCAAGAGGCTCCTCAGCATGGAAAATAGAACAAGAGCACCTCGCCATGGCCAGAGTTGAGCACAGCCTCCAGATGCCAGGGATGAAAATGGGGAAGCCTTCACCTCTGTCTGTGTACTGTCTGTCTTTGTTGTTAATTGTATAGCAACATTGAATGTTTGCCATATATGTTATTCTGTAATCTGCTCTGAGTCCCCTCAGGGAGATAGAGCAGAATATAAATAAATTATATAATTATATTTATTATTAAACATACACATCCAGGTATCCCTTTCTTCCTCCAGAAATTTTATATGAACAGATTAATGCAGCAATGTATTGTCGAGGGCTTTTATGGCCAGAATCACTGGGTTGTTGTAGGTTTTTTCAGGCTATATGGCCATGTTCTAGAGGCATTCTCTCCTGATGTCACCTCACCACCTCTGAGGATGCTTGCCATAGATGCAGGCGAAACATCAGGAGAGAATGCATCTAGAACATGGCCATATAGCCCGAAAAAACCTACAACAACCCAGATTAATGCAGCATTCAATACATCTTCTAGGCATTCCCACAAACCTCCACACCATCTAAGAAACATATAAAAGTTCCTGTTTTGAACTATCTCACTCTGTGATGCTCCTTAAGGTAAAAGTAATATCCCCTTGACATTAAGTCTAGTTGTGTCTGACTCTGGGGGGTGGTGCTCATCTCCATTTCTAAGCCGGCCTTGTCCGTAGACGCCTCCTAGGCCATGTGGCTAGCATGAGTGCATGGAGCGCTGTTACCTTCCCGCTGAAACGGTACCTATTGTTCTACTCACATTTGCATGTTTTCGAACTTTTAGGCTGGTAGAAGCTGAGGCTAACAGCGGGAGCTCACCCCACTCTCCAGATTCGAATCACAGACTTTTCGGTCAGCAAGTTCAGCATCTCAGCAGTTTAACCTGCTATGCCACCAAGGGCTCCTGATGCTCCTTAGGAAAATAAAATACAATTTATGAAAAGCAGTAGAAGCAAGAAAATTACATTTCTAAATTTCCATTCACTTCTACACGTATCATATTCAAACTCTTGGAGCTGTATTCAAATTCCAGTTCAACTGGTGCTACTAATGAGTGACTGCAATATTTTTCATTGTAATGATGAGAGTTAAAAACCACACTCAAAACTATGATAAATCAGAACCTGAAGTGGATTTTAATAATGGAAAACAGGTTTTTTGGCCACTATATGAACCTTATGAAAACAAGCTAAGTTTAAAGAGGTCATAAAGAGCCTCCAAGTGTCGTGTTATTACGGTATCACACAGATAAAGGCCAGCTTTCCAAATATTTGAGGAGGAAGGGAGAGGTAATGAACCAAAGCATATTAGCCTCACTCCTGGCACAAGTTCAATCTCCCTTCAGTCATTCAACAGACAGTTTTGACAAAATTAAACTATCCCATTGCCAAGGGAAACCTATCACGGAAGTCAACCTTACAGATATTAAGTAAAGGTAAAGGTTTCCCCTGATATTATGTCTAGTTTTGTTCAATTCTGGAGGGTGATGCTCATCTCCATTTCTAAGCCAAAGAGCTGGCATTGTCCATAGACACCTTCAAGGTCGTGTGGCTAGCATGTCTGTATGGTGTGCCATTACCTTCCCACCGAAGCGGTACCAATTGATCTACTCACAATTGCATGTTTTCAAACTTCTATGTTGACAGAAGCTGGGGCTAACAACGGGAGCTCACCCTGCACCCCAGATTTGAACCGCCAACCTTTCGGTCATCAAGTTCAGCAGCTCACTGCTTGAGACCAGAAATGTTTTTGATTGTTTTGAAAATCTTGCTCCCGGATTTTGAAATATTTACATCTGCATAAACATACATGCTGAGGCATCTTGGAGAAGTCTAAACACAAGTTTTGTTTACCTTTTTTATACACCCCACACACATAGCCTGAAAATAATTTTACACACAATATTTTAAATAATTTTTGCATGAAACCAAGTTTATGCCCTTTGAACCCTCAGAAAGCAAAGAAGTGGCTTTCTCAGCTATCCACGTCAACAATTCTGGAAGTATTTCAGGATTCCTGTACGAGGAAAGCACATTAATCTGTGCGGTGCACGTTTTGCCCTCCAGATATCCCTGTTTATTTGCTAATGGAGGCAATACTTTTTGAGGTTACAAAATCCCATGCTGGACTACGCTTTCCAGGACACCACCCGGGGCCTCCCTCCGGAGGAAACCTGCCCAAGTATATTTATTTTTATCCCTGCCTTGGCGCTCACACCATTTCAGCAGCATAACAAAACCACAGTGATATAGGTTAGGGAGAGGCAGTGCTTTTCAGGAGGGAAAGGGCTGTCCATGAGGCAGGCCTGGCTTCAGGGGAGGAGCTGGAGGAAGGAAAGTGAGGGAGAGTGAGTGTCCCCGCCTGTATATTTCAGCATGTGTCTACATTGCAAAATGAATACAATCTGACTCAGCTTTGTTATGGCTCAGTGCTAAGCGAATTATAGTTTGGTGATGCACCAGCAAAAAGGGACAAAAAAGGCACTGAGCCCTAGCAGTGAAAGTGGGGTCAAACTGCATTCAGATGCACCCTAAGAGAATGTAACTCCACCAAGGTCGCCCAGGGGTGGATCTACCCTGTAGAATAAATACAGTTTGATCCCCTTTCATGGGAGCAGCAGTTTGGTGAGGCTCCAGTCCTCTTAGGCAGAAAAGGCTAAAGACCTTGTTAAACTATAACTCCCAGGACTGCATTGCCTTGATCCATGGCAGTTCAAGTGGTATCAGTTTGAATCCTGTGGGTTGCAGTTGGGTGAGGCCGTAGCCCTCTTGGGCACAGAAGGCTAAAGACCTTGAAAAACTACAATTCCCAAGATTGCATAGCCTTGATTCATGGCAGTTGAAGGGTATCAAATTGAATCCTGGAAGTTGCAGTTGGGTGAGGCCCCAGGCAGTGAAAGCTAAAGACTTTGTAAACCTACAACTCCCAGGATTGCATAGTGTTAACCTATGAGAGTTTAAGGGGCATCACACTGAATCCTGGGAGCTGCAGTTGGGTGAGGCCCCAGCACGCTTAGGCAGAGAAAGCTAACAACCTTGAAAAACTACAATTCCCAGGATTGCATAGTGTTGACCCATGGCAGTTCTAATGGTATCAAATTGAATCCTGGGGATTGCAGTGAGGTGAGGCCGTAGCCCTCTTGGGCAGAGAAGGCCAAAGATCTTGTAAAACTACAACTCCCAGGATTGCATAGCCTTGATTCATGGCAGTTGAAAGGATATCAAACTGAATCCTGGGAGTTGCATTTGGATGAGGCAGTGAAAGCTAAAGGCCTTGTAAAACTACAATCCCCAGGATTGCATAGTGTTGACCCATGCAGTTGTAATAACATCATTGAATCCTGAGAGTTGCAGTTGGGTGAGGCCGTAGTCCTCTTGGGCAGAGAAGATTAAAGACCTTGCAAAACTATAACTCCCAGGATTGCACAGGATTGACCTATGGGAGTTTCAGGGGCATCATACTGAATCCAGGGAGTTGCAGTTGGGTGAGGGGCACCTCCTTTTGGGCAGAGAAGGCTAAAGACCTTGCAAAACTACAACTCTCAGGATTGCATAGTATTGACCCATGCCGTTGTAGTGATATCAAACTGAATCCTGGGAGTTGTAATTTAGTGAGGCCCCACTCCTTTTGGGTAGAGAAGGCTAAAGACCTTGCAAAACTACAACTCTCAGGATTGCACAGCATTGACCTATGAGAGTTTCAGGGGCATCATACTGAATCCTAGGAGTTGCAATTGGGTGAGGGGCACCTCCATATGGGCAGAGAAGACTAAAGACCTTGCAAAACTACAACTCCCAGGATTGCACAGCACTGACCTATGAGAGTTTCAGGGGCATCATATTGAATCCTGAAAGTTGCAATTGGGTGAAGGGCCCCTGCTTTTGGGTAGAGATGGCTCAAGACCTTGCAAAACTACAATTCCCGGGATGGCCTAGCGTTGACCCACTGCAGTCCTGAGGGTCTGGAATGGGATCGTGGCCGAGGCGGCAGCCTTCCTCAGCCCTTCTTCCCCTTCCCCTTCCCCTTGGGACTTGCCTGCCCGGGCTCGGCGGCCCTGAAGACGTGGCAGGCCATGCGGGAGTCGGGGTCCTCGGGCTGCGCCTTGATCAGGTAGGCGAAGTAGGTGAGGTCGTGGCTGTTGTGCACGAAGCGGGCGATGTGCTGCGCCTTGTGCTCGAAGATGAAGACGGCCGGGTTGGAAGCCGAGGAAGAAGGCGAGGAGGGCACGCAGCGCAGGGTGGGCGAGCCCAGGAGCAGGAGCACCTCTCGGGGCGGCACGGCGCTGGGCTCGGGCTTCTGGCTGCGCCGCCGGATCTCGGCCATCAGCCAGGGCAGCATGGGCAGCGTGGTGCGGCGGTCCAGGCAGGAGCAGCCCACGTACCACAGCCTGAAGCGCTTCTCCGCCGCCGTTGCCGCCGGAGGGGGGACCGCAGAGCCCTCCAAGGGGTGCGAGAAGAAGGGCTCCGCGCAAGGCTGCTGCTGCTGCTGCTGCTTCTCCATGGCTCGTGCGGGAAAGGCTCGCGCTCTGGTGCAGAGCTCTCTCTCTCTCTCTCTCGGGGAGGCCGCCCGCTTGGGCTGGGAAGGAAGGAAAGAAGCAGAGCCGCCCCGTCCTGCTGCAGCCCAGTCCGCCAAAGAGGGAAACAAACCAGGCTCCTCCCCTCCGGAGGGAGTCCCCTTCGCCGTGGAGGGAGAAGGGACCCAAAGGGAGGCGGAAAGGAAGGCACGGCGGCGCACGGCCCGCCCCTTGCTTTCCCTCTCTCTCGCCCTTCGCGGCTCTTGTTCTCTCCTGCAGGGCCTCCTTCGCAGCCCAGATTAGTCCAGAAGAGGGAAGCACTGGCATGGCCCAAGGGCGCCCAGTGGGTTTGCAAAGCCTCCAGAGAGCCCTAGGCTGCCTCTACATTGTACAGACTGGCATGGGGAAATTTGGGCCCTCCAGGTGTTTTGGAATTCATAGAATCATAGAGCTGGTAGAGACTTCATGGGCCATCCAGTCCAACCCCCGCCAAGAAGCAGGAAAATTGCATTCAAAGCACCCCCGATAGATGGCCACCCAGCCTCTGTTTAAAAGCCCCCAAAGAAAGAGCCTCCACCACACTCCAGGGCAGAGAGTTCCACTGCTGAACAGCTCTCACAGTCAGGAAGTTCTTCCTAAAGTTCAGGTGGAATTTCCTTTCTTGTAGTTTGAAGCCATTGTTCCACATCCTAATCTCCAGGGCAGCAGAAAACATGCTTGCTTCCTCCTCCCTATGACTTCCTCTCACATATTTATACATGTCTCCCCTCAGCCTTCTCCAGGCTAAACATGCCCAGCTCTTTAAGCCGCTCCTCATAGGGTTTGTTCTCCAGACACTTGATCATTTTAGTCACCCTTCTCTGGACACATTCCAGCTTGCCAATATCTCTCTTCAGTTGTGGTGCCCAGCTCCCACCATTCCTCACAGCCTCAGGGATAATAGTATGATAGCTGGGTCCAGAAGGTCCAAGTGTTAAGGAGATGCCACATCGCTCCTTCGGGAGCACAGTTTGCACAAGAGACGTAGCTAATGTAAGCCAGGCCAGAGACAGATAATAGAGAAGAAATGTAAGAGTTCTTTAATGGTGACACCCTAACCCTTAACCGTACCGTAAGCCTAAGCCTAACCCCTTACCCGAACTCTTACTCTAACCCTAAATCTTACCCTAACCCTAAACTGTACCCTAACCATAACTCCTTACCCTAACTCAAACCGTAAACCTTTCCCAAACCCTTACCCTAAGCATTCCCTCCTTTCTATCCTTCCTTCGCTCTCACTCTGCCCCCTTATTCACAGCCACCTTTGCGGCATCTCCTTAAGACTCAGAGCTTCTGGACCCAGCTATCATACTATCACCACCTCAGGCCCCTTCCTTTCCCTCCTCAGCCACTTCAACACATGGGGAAATTTGGGCTATTAGGAATGGTGGGAGATGGAGTTCAAAGTACTTGGAGAGAGGGCCCAAGTTTACCCATGGCTGTGTTGAAGTTGCTGAGGTGGGGAAGGGAAGGACCTGAAACTGTGAAGAATGGTAGGAGTTGAAGTTTGCCCATGCCTCCTGTAGAGGAAGCTTCCTCGCACTCCGCACAGGCAACAGATCCTAATATTGGTTCTGGGCCCAGCACTCAGCTTAAGCGGTGAGGGGAAAAGGAAGGGGCCTGAGGCTGTGAGGAACGGTGGGAGTTGGAAATCTAAAACACAATGAGGGCCCAAATTTGCCCCATGCCGGTGTAGAATTATTGCAGTTTGCACACCACACATATCTTATGCGTAGTGCCCCCAGTGGCACAGTGGGTTAAAGCACTGAGCTGCTGAACTTGTTGACAGAAAAGTCACAGGTCCAAATGCGGCTAGTGGTGTGAGCTCCCGCAGTCAGCCCCAGCTTCTGCCAACCTAGCAGTTCAAAAACATGCAAATGTGAGTAGATCAATAGGTACTGCTCCAGTGGGAAGGTAGCAGTGCTCCATGCAGTCATGCTGGCCACATGACCTTGGAGGTGTCTACGGAGAACGCCAGCTCTTCGGCTTAGAAATGGAGATAAGCACCAACCCACAGAGTTGGACATGACTTAATGTACTGGGAAAACCTTTACCTTTAATTTACTTAAGTGGCTGAGGGGGGAAAGAAAGGGGCCTGAGGCTGTGAGGAATGGTGGGAGGTGGAAGTCCCAAACACCTGGAGGGCCCAAGTTGGCCCATGCCTGTGTAGAATTATTGCAGTTTGCACACCACACATACCTCATGTGTAGTGCAAAAAGACAAGAAAGAACAATGCCATATTTAAAACGAAGGATAGTTTTAACCAACTTAAACAGTATTCCAGCAAGAAGTACAGGCCTGCTTTTGGCTGCTGAGAGAGTCAACATCTTATCAAATTAAGAAATTCCCCAGCCGTAGGACACTTCAGCCTCTTTTCAAGCATAGAGAGACACTGATCTTATCACATGAGTTAAACCACTTCCGGCTGTCACACAGACACCTCCATGGATGAAAAGAGGCAGAAGTGTCATTTTTTTCATGTCAGGAGTGTATGTTATATGTGCACCCTGGAGTGCTTGTAAGCCGCCCTAAGTCCTTTCGGGATATAAATAAACTGCAAATTGCTTCTGGTGTGAGAGAATTGGCCGTCTGCAAGGATGTTGTCCAGGAGACGCCTGGATTTCTTTTAATGTTTTCCCATCCTTGTGGGAGGTTTCTCTCATGCCCCCCCCCCCCAGTGGGTGCTGGAGCTCCCCGAATTCAAACCACTGACCTGTTGGTCAGCAGTCCTGCCGGGACAAGGGTTTAACCCAGCATTTCTCAACCTAGGGGTCATTTCTCAACCTGGGAGGGTCGCAAAGGGGGGGGGATAAGAGAGGTCACCAAAGACCATCAGAAAACACAGTATTTTCTGTTGGTCATGGGGGTTTTTTGTGGAAGTTTGGCCCAATTCTATCGGTGGGGTTCAGAATGCTCTTTGAATGTAGGTGAACTAAAAATCCCAGCAATTACAACTCCCAAATGTCAAGGTCTATTTTCCCCAAACTCCACCAGTATTCACATTTGGGCATATGGATTATTCATGCCAAGGTTGGCATGATCCATCATTGTTTGAGTCCACAGTGCTCTCTGGATGTAGGTGAACTACAACTCCCAAACTCAAGGTCAATGCCCACCAAACCCTTCCAATATTTTCTGTTGGTCATGGGAGTTCTGTGTGCCAAGATTGGTTCAATTGCATCATTGATGGAGTTCAGAATGCTTTGTGATTGTAGGTGAACTATAAACCCCAGCAACTACAACTCCTAAATGACCAAATCAATTCCTCCCCCCCCATCCCAACTCCATCAGTATTCAAATTTGAGCATATCTGTTATTTGTGCCAAATTTGGTCCCTTGACACATCCTGCATAGCAGATATTTACATTATGATTCATAACAGTAGCAAAATGACAGTTATGAAGTAGCAATGGAACTAATGTTATGGTTGAGGGTCATCACGACATGAAGAACTGTATTAAAGGGTCACAGCATTAGGAAGTTTGAGAAACACTGGTTTAACCCTTTGTGCTACCGGGGGCTCCTAGTGTCCTGAAAGAAGGGAACTCCGGCAATTAACCGCATCACATTGAGAAATTTCCTCCTCTTAGGACACTTCAGCCTCTTTTTTGCATGGAGAAGCATGCAGCTCATCACATGATCCAGAGTTGAAACAAGGCAGAAAAGTCCTGAAAAAAGGCAGAAAAGTCCTGAACACGTGCCAGCAATTGTGTTCAGAGCTCCTTCCTCTTATCACTCTTATCCAACTCTCAAACTTCACTGGCTCGCACTGAGCTTATCTAATCCACTGCTTCCTAAACTGTGGGTGCCTACCTCATATACAGACACAGATACACAAATAAAATATACTTGCTAATTATTTAAAGAGATTTGGAGTACAAGAGATCTCAGTTCACAAGTTGCCAGAACTTTCTTTTAAGACATCTTTTCCCCAAGCTACAAATGTTGTAGTTTAGGACTTCATCCCATGCTGACTTCTCTCCACCTTTCCTCCGTTTCCCTGCACTACTGAAACGAAATCCCACGGAGGCCATTACATAACACAAGGCTACTTCCAGTGGTTGCTGGTGGGACTCGGTTGCTGCAGCTCGGGGAAATGGGAGGAAGACTGTGTTTTTAGGAGTCAGATGCTACCCAACTCCTAACAACAGAAGATGTAGAGAAGCCGGAGGAAAGACAAGGAAAGGACTTGGAATGGCTGCCATCTCTGAAGTCGGAAAATCATGGGACCTTGAGGATAGGGAACAAAAAAAGACGGTTCCTCCCAGTTTTCCCCACTTTTGTGTGATGAGGTCCTTGGATCAGTGAAACAGTTAACCTCATAGACACTGGCTTTATTTCTACATAGTGTAGTTCTGTAAGGTGGAAACTCATGGCCTTCCAAACATTTCTGTACAATAGCTCCCACCACCACATCATTTCTGTACAATAGCTCCCACCACCACATTAGTGCCAATGGGAGCTGCAGGCTAACCAAAAGGAATCAACAAGTTGATGTTTTAAGAGCCTTAAATTTATGCGATAGGGAAATAGCTCTTAAAGAGTTTCCTGGAAGGAGGAAAGCATGCAGTGCTTCAGAATCTTACACTTGAAGCTCAACTAGTGAGGAAAATTTTTGACAAAATCTCTGCAAGCATCACAATCATTGCTCTTATGGAGACCCATTAAAAGAGGTTTAATATGATTAGGTTCAGATGCCCATATTTGTTAGTACCATATTCTTTCTTTGCCACATTGCAATCTGCAGGCATTTCAGCAAAGTTTTGTTGCTCCCCTTTATCCTACAAACACTCAACTTCCTCTGTGTATTGTCTCGCTTCTCCCACACACCCTTCACCCGCATCGTTGGCTGCCAAGACAAGCGAGACTGGCCTGTCCGCCAGAGACGGCCTCATTTGTCTGCAGCTATCTCTGTTGGCAACTGGAGTGTTGCTAGGCTGGGGTCTGCAAGCTCCCCAAACTATTTCTCAGGGCCATGGATCTATTCTTCCATATATAATGTCGATGTGTATTAGCATAGGCAGAATGTATGCAGAGGACTGTCCTATAGCCTTAGGATCCCTGTTTTTTGAAAGCCTAGAAACATCCCCTGCTGCCAATCTGCTAAACATTAAAACCAGGATGACAATCTTCCCTGATGTCTCTGACAAGCACACAGGGCTT